AGGCCTCCTGTGCTATGGCAAGAGCTGAGCGCGGTCGCCCACGTGAGTGATCTTCTTTTGAGGCGAAAGATTGCTGCAGCGCTAGATGTCTTAGTCCAGCGGGCCAAGTCTTTGGAAGCCACGCTGAAGGGCGGACAGTATATACAGTTTCCCGCCACCTAGAGTTGGTGGGGGCTGACCAGGTGACCATGACGGAGGCTGGGGAAAACTATGAAGCGGCGCGCGAGAAGATTTCCGCAATAAGTCAATGGGATCAAAGCCCCATGGCCTGGGGCGAAAAGCGACAGTGACAGTAAGTGTCGAGGCAAAGCTGTTCCATCATCAGAGCCGGCGTTCAAGGAGAAGGGCGAGAAGGGAAAGAAAGGTAGAGGAAAATGGGATCGCAAAGGAAAGACGGAGAGTTGAGGGCCGGAGAATCTGATGAAGGAACAGCTAGAGACGGAAAGGGAAGAGGAGAAACAAAGAGAGGAGAGTCGCCAAATGAAGGAAGAGAAAGGGAAGAGGGACAGGCGAAAAGAAAGAAAGCAGATGAAACAGATGTGAGGGCTGAGGAGGAGCAGGCTGTAGAGGCTTTGCTGAGAGAGTGCCAGTGCCGGGCGCAGAGTTATGAGCTTGGGGGAGCGAACTTTGTTGAAAAAAGCCGAGGTTAGCAGTGGAGGCGAAGGCTGCAGGTATGGACCGTGGCCAGTTGCCAAAGTTAGGTGAGTTCTGCTGGAGGAGAAGCTGGAAATACTTATCAGGTGGAAGGGGAGCGGATGAGAGGCTCCCAATTTCGCAGAATGATTCCGGGCGACTCCAGATGAAGGTTAGCTGCTGGGAGGCAGTTTCTTCGACGCCGCGACTGGATTTGAGCCCGTGCCGTGGTGGGAACATTGAGTACAGAAGTCCCCATGCGAAGGGGCAAGGAGTGTCAGAGCATGACAGGCAAGACCTTGAGGAGTTGTGCTCCAAAACAAGTGTCAGCGTGAAGAGACAGTTGTGGGGGATATGGGACAGCTACTCGCTCGTATGTTGGAGGCTTTTGATCAACAGTTGAACACGTGTTGCAGTCAGGCCTCGGAGGGGATTTTCCCCTCCCGCTTCCAACACAGTTGGGGATGAGTGGGGACCATGTTTCCTACCTCGAAGCTTTGATTGGTTTGAACCTGCTTGCGGGTACCAGGAGTAGGCGGCTGAGGATGCCCAGCAAGGTTTCGCGGGAGCTTGTTGTTCATCTTGACCGGGTTTTGCAGGGGTGTGATCTTTTGAGGGAAAAGGTGCCCCGTCTTAGTTTCCGAGAGTTCTTTCGCACCAATACCATTGACTATTCGGGTGAAGAAGTCAAAGTTGCCCGTCGTTTTACCTGGCAGATGATTGAGGCCGCGTTGCCCCAAGGGGTTGGCAGTTTGGTGTTGACGGACTTGTGCGACCAGGGGGCCCTCGACTATGTTCGTAACTTCGAGCAGTGCCTCCTGCCGTACCAGGATCAATACCTGGGAAAGACGCCAGCGATCATGGTGGAGCAGAGCGACTGGGCAGAGGTCTGCCGGGGTCTGGTCGCGAGGGGCGTCTGCGGGTTGATGAAACGGGGGGATGTGCATCATGTTCGCGGTAGACCCTTATTGAACGGGCTCTTTGCCGTTGAGAAGGGGGAGAAACTGACGGGGCCGAGTTCGACGCTTGCCGGTTAATCATGAATCTGGTCCCAACCAATGCTATCTGCCGCAACCTGGTCGGTGACACGGCAACACTCCCTTCAGTCGTGGGGCTGTCATCAATAATCCTTGAAGACAACCAATTGCTCCTCACATCTTCGGAGGATATAAGGTGCTTCCTTTTAATTCCAAACACCACAGGAGTGGTGGCCCTACATGTCATTCGCAAGGGAGGTGCCCCCTGAAGCCCTGCTGCCTATGGGGTTTGTCAACTCGGTTGCAATCGCCCAACATGTGCACAGGCGGGTGATTTCACAGGCACTCTATTCCGGACAGGGGCTTGCCTCGAGGCATCGGGAGATCAGGCCAACAGCCGTGCAGATCATCTATTCCGGGTGTACCTGGACAATTTCGATGAGCTACGCAAGGTGGATAAGGGAGTGGCTGGACTTGTGGAAGGAAAACCGTCTGATTGGACCCTGGCTATCCGAGAGACCTACAAAGCGATGGGACTTCCGCGTCATCCAAAGAAAGCAGTGGAGGAGTCGATCGCCCCTGAGGTCCAAGGGGCCTGTGTGGATGGGAGTAGAGGAACCGCTGCTCCCAAGTATAGTAAGGTGGCTCGATACTTGAGTCTGGCGTGTGAGGCGGTTGGTGAAGGGAAGGCATCGCAGCGGGAGCTTCAGATCATTGGCGGGGGCTTTGTGTACGTCACTATGTTCAGACGACCTCTGTTGGCAGGTTTGAATGCTATTTGGAGGAAGTTTGACACCTCACCAGCGTAGCTCGTTGGGGAACGACGTGGAGGTCGAGCTGATCCGATTCATTGCGATGAGCGCCTTGGCCTTCATGAATTTCAGGCTACCTGTGTCAGAGCGCGTCACAGCCAGTGACGCCGCGTCCACGAGGGGAGGACTCTGTGTGTCTCGTGGACTTAGTCCATACGGACTAGCTGACTACTTGAGACCCCCACTTCGGCGTACTACTCAATTGACGCAACAGGGGTCAGGTCTTGTGCGGAAACTGCTTGGTCAGGTTTCAGTCGAAGGTGAGGATATTCTTTTGCACATGAGCACCGATGTCCCCGCTAGGTATCACAGATTGCGGGCGTCACTCCCAAGCAAACTCTGGCGTTGGAAAGATGTCATTGGCTGGCGCTGGAGAGGTGACGCGGAGCATATCAATGCCCTGGAGCTCAGGGCTGTCAAGACAAGCCTGGTTTGGAGGATCAAGGAGCTGCGTGAAGGGCCTGTTCGTTTTGTTCACTTGGTCGACTCCTTGGTTGTGTTGCAGTCAAGAGGCAGATCGTCCAGTCGAAAACTTCGGCGGACATTGGCTAAGATTAGTGCACTGTTGTTGGCAAGCGGCTCTGTTGGCGCATGGTCCTATGTGGACACGCACCAGAACCCAGCAGATCGGCCATCTCGGCGGCCTGTGCGGATGAAATGTGTAAGAAAGGCGCAAAAGTGATTGAGGGCCGTAGTCAACAACAGTAACAGCGCATGAAAGTTAGGAAGCAACTTGGGAGTCTGAAGGGTTTGACAGTTCAGCCCAGGACCCGTGAGCGTTATCAGGCATGTCTTGACAAGTTCGTTGATTGGTTAGGAGGGGAGGGGCTGAGCCTCCCAAAGCGTGCTCAGGCCATGGATAGTGTCGTCTCTGGTTACCTTGAGTTCCTCTGGGCCGCTGGTGAGAGCAAGTCGGTTGCTAATAATACTTTAGCCACCCTCCAGGACAAGGAGCCAGGTCTGAAGCGCCGTTTGACAGGCAGCTGGCGTTTGTTGAAAGCGTGGTTGACAGCTGAGATCCCCAACCGGGCACCCCCAATGACCCTGACAGTTCTCGATGCGCTTTGCGGCTGGTTTGTGATGAAGGAGAAACCGAGTCGCCTTCTTTGGGCTGTTGCGAACGGGGGAGTTGCTCAGCCTCCGTGCTCGGGATGTTTCTCTGCCTTCCCCCAAAGGGCCCGCCGTGCTTTCTTTAGTGCTTACGAAAGCTGGTGCACGACAAGGAGCAGCTGAGAGTGTTACTCTCCATGAGGATTCCATACTTCCTAGTCTTTATCGATGGAAGCAGACTGCCCGACCCTCCGAATTTTTAATTCCAAAACCGCATCAGTGGCGTACCTGGTTCGCCAATGCCATAGAAGGGCTGAGATTGACTAGTTTGGAGTTTCGCCCCTACGGCCTCAGGCGAGGCGGGGCCACGTTTTGGTTTAACCACCGGATCGTTCGACCGCTTGTTGGTCCAAGGGCGGTGGGCCGCCGCTAAAACCGCAAGAATTTACTTGAACGATGGGCTCGCCCAGCTTGCGGACATGACACTCCCTAATTCGCCTTTGCGTGCCTAAATCCGTTTGTTTTGATCTTGCCCAATCCTTGAGCCTGGGAAGTCTTGTACGCTTCCCAGAGCAGGGGGACGTGGAAAGAAGCGAAAGATTGGAAAATGAGAGTATGGAGTCTTGCTCAGTTGGAGTTATCTTGTAGGGTCCTCTCAAAAACACCTGAGCTCGGATATGCTCCGGTTTGGCGGTAGCATATCTGGGGGGTGTAGGGGGCCCCCCCATCACTTCTGGTTTGGCGGAGTGATTGGGGGGTCGGGGCCCCGAGAGGTGAGAAATTAGACCATGGGTATTGTCCAACGTCTCCGCTATTTATTCTACAGTAAATCTAGGTCACATCACTAGGCATTTTGACAGTCTTGAGCACCAACTCATCTTCCTCCGATGCCCTTCGCCGCCTCTCCTCCCCTGCTAGCTTTTGACCGGGACTTTGGGATCAACTTATTTTCCTATAGGGATTTACGTACAACCTATTGTGTGACTTGCCATTGATTGCACTTCGCGTGTGAAAAACAGGGGTAGCCTGGCACGTCCCTCAACTGTTTGGTGCACCAATCCCTTGTGTCCCTCAGTGGCTGACCCCACGACATTATCCAGCCACCTTCAGCCTTGAAACCGACAAATCGAGAGAAGAGCACAAGGGACGGATACGTGGACCAACAAACGCAGAATGACATGTGGTGAAGACAGTTCCATCATACACAATGACAGCAACACTACAACAGAATGGATACACTCAGGACTCCGTACTGTATGAGTATGAGTGTTTTTGCTAGTGACCCTGGTCTGCGTTCTCAAGTGTCCTCAATTAGCGCAAAGACAATTTATTGCCACTTCAGAAGGGGCTCAAATGACGCAGAGGAAACAAGTAACGCCAGGCCAAACCAGATGCACCGAGAGAAGTCTGAACATGTCCTGCTAGATCAAGTAAAGCAAGACTTCAGAATCAGATCCAAAGCTCTAGTTTGCCGAGTGGAAACAATTCTTTGGTGAGCGTAATTCAGATTTGTACATATTTGTGTAAGGTGCTGCTATTTCACTCTCGTTGAGGACTCCCGCTGGAGATACAGCCGTCCATTGGAAGCTTTAGATGCAAGAGACTCAGCTGTTGGAACGTAGGCTGTGGGTTTGTGCAGTTGCAGCTAATAACCTTCCGTCAGGACCATGATATGCGGAGAGCTGCATGCATCCAAGAGGGAACCCTCAAAATGCTTCAAGGCGTGTCAATGAAGGCCACCGTGCTCACCGCGTGCCTGAGGCACCCTGGAGCTGCAAACGGTTCGGTCCCTACCTTCAACAGTCGAGGTTTATAATTACAGTAACGTGCCAGGTGCTTTGAAAAAACTCAGGGGTACTGCCAGTGCTCTGTGCTCGCACGATGAAAACGGGAAACATCGATTCTTTTTCCCGGGAGGGTCGCCTTTATTTTTCACCACACGCGCGGTATCAACGGCAAAAAACATTTTTTAACACCGTTTTCTCTTAGCAAAACAACGCACGTGAACCGGATTTGCAGAGGTCTCTCTTGGCATTTTGCGCCTCAGAGATCTTGGTGGAGCCATTACGTGAGAGGTGGGGCAGCTTGAGAAAAGGAAACATTGTGATCCATTTAAAGACACTAGATGGTGTGCAGGAAGCGGAGTTGCGCGGTGGGTGCTTTGTCTCTATTGCTTTTGATGGTCCTGGTTGGTGGCAAGTGTGGCTCCTATGGGAACTTTCGAGGCTGCCCAGCAATAGAATTTTCGAAGGCAAGCGCACATAGCGCAGGTGCACACAAACAAACCACCTGGATCTTTGATAGGCGAATTGGATGCGTGCCTAGGTGCGGACTCTCTTCCTTGAACCTTTAAGTTTTGTGTCTATTGTTTTTTGGCATTTCGTTCTTCACAAGACTTCTTTTGTCAGCTACTTCAAGGTCCTTTGCTCAGTGGTGACGGTGTCACGCCTGCCCCAGCCACATCCTCAGCCCCTTTTTCCTCATGGTTCCTTATTGTTTTACCTTTCTATATTCGTTTTTGCCTTTGTCTTTTCCTTTGTTTCAATGTGAGTTGACTTTGGTGAAGGTCTGGCTCAGCGAGCCGCTTTGCTGCACTCTGCAGAGAACGAAGCAAAGAAACAGAGACAGTATGGAAGCGAGCTGCATAGCGTATGGATCACACTCTTTTAAATCTCCCTCTCTCTCTATATACATATACATATAGGTTATGTCATGTCTAAACACTTGTATTTGATTGTATTGGTGTCCATTTCTTTGGTTATCCACATATTTTGCTTACTGTGCTGGAACATATTCTGATTTCGATTCTGGATGCTGCAAACCTTCCCTCGTTTGAGTTCTCAAGGTTTGGAACAGATGTTCGTGACAACTATTTCAACAATATCATCAGATACATGAAGGCAGATCTGGTTGGTGTGTTTTGCTGAGAATCAACTCAAGACATTGCAGCTGCACTGCAGCTTGGAGGAGAATAAGTTGGACTTTGCTTATTGGAGCATCAATGGTGAAAAGCGGTCCAATGAGAGCGAGACATATGGCTTGCTCCAGGTGCTGAAGCTGTGGTTGTTTTCCTTGTGCCCAAGGCATTGTCTCGCCAGGACGACAACTTTGCTGTGAGACACCCCTGGAAGCTTGAGATGCTGCAAACATTGATGGAAGGGCCAATGGGCAAGAAAAAGATGGAAAAGCATTCGGCTGCAAGTCACTGAAATGTTTTGAGCACCGTTACCCACATTGGGGGTTATTGAGCAAAAGTTGAGCAAAAGTTGACTGCGGACTTGACAGGGTTCCTCTCGCGTACATCGCAGCCAACAAAGGACTTCAAATGGGGGTGGGATCAATGGCATTTTCAATGTCTTTGTATTCTTTAGATGTACTGTAACTGCTGATGCACACTTCATCCTGTCATGCGGTTGCATCCATTTTCACTGCAGCCCTTCTTTTACGGGACCACATGGTTGTCAAGCCTCGACGAAACCAGAGGCTGACGTCAGGGAAAAGTTACTTGTCAGCGGACGAGCTTAGGAAGCCCAGGCGGTCACGAACTTGGCCCGCCATCAACAGGTTATGAACCCAACGTTGGGCGCTTCTTGTTCGGAGGCCCCCGATCCAACCATGTTGCGCCGGGCAGGCATGAAGCTGAAGAGGCGGAAGCGTTGCCGCTGATCAGCCAAGAGCTGGTGCTGGTCTACAAGGAGACTCCGCTTCTTGAAAGATGGGGTCGACACGGGTGGAGAGGGAACCGTTCCCAGCACACTGACCACCAGGAGCGCCGCCAGAAGACCAGACACGGGAACAGGACAGCCCAAAGGGTCGACCTCTTGTTTTGGCACGCTTCACCACGTTGGGTCCACCTCTGTTCACTCAGGAATAACTGACGGAAGCTCGTGCCGCTGCCTGCCAAGCGCTGCAGGTCTACGGAAGCCTTGTGCCACCTCCTTCGTCAGGTGCAAGGACTCAAGATGCAGCGTCCGGGCTTCATGGAGGAGGAGGAGATGAGGTATGAAGAGCAGATGAAGAAGGAAGGAAATGAAAGGATGTTGAGAGATGAGAAGAAAAGAGAGCAGGCTGGACAAGAGTGAAGGCCCGAAGGCTGCTTTGTTGAGGAGGTGAAAAGAAGTGGCCCAGAAGCGCACGATCCCGAGCAGCAGGATCGCCGTCAGGCTGCGCAACCAGAGGAGATCATGGGGATGTGGCAGATCTTGCAGCAGTGCCGGTCTTAAAAGTTGGAGCGCCAGCATGCTCCTCAGGAGACAAGGATGCAAGAAGATGCAAGAACCAGAAGGGAAGTTGTGGTAAAGAGAGGCTGAGAGGAAGGAGAATGTCGAGGGCTTGAAGGACGAGCCATCATCTACCTTCGCAATTTTTCAACCCCAGAGGAGCCCGCTGCCCAGATCCACTCCTGTTGACCCTGGCTGGTTATCCTGCGAGGTATGGGAGGAAAGTGTTATTGCTACTGTTGGTTCAGCCGCGCGGCTGATCTCACTGCCATGGCCATGGCTGATCTCACTTGGCATGCGGAAAACATGATGGCTGAAGAGTTAAGGCGCTTGATCGAGGCCAGTGTGAAGCCGAGATGGACCATCTCGCCCTTGCAGCGAGAGGATGGAAAGGGGAAGAAGGGTGAATTTCAGACCAAGGATGTTGAGGCGAGAGAAAGGAAGCAGGAAGACGCGTAGAGAAGTTGCTGGGTGGTCAAAGAAAGAAAAGGGAAGCCTCCGAAGCCAAGATCAACAAGCTATGACAGCAGCTGGGCGAAATCAAGACGAGCGCAAGGTGGTCAAGTTGACTTGCAGTGAACAGGAGCGTTCAGTTTCTTTGATTCAGGCGCCGTACACACCCTTTGCGGGAAAGACCCAGCTGCTGGAAGCCACCGATGGTCTGCAAACTTCAAACTGGAGGTGCCGGTGATGGCGTGATGCAGGAACGAAGAGCGCACTTTGTCGACAGCCTCGCCGCCATAGGACTCTTTGCGGATAGTCGCGTCAATTCGTTTGACGTATGGGGTCTCCCGATCACACGTTTCTGTGACGAATGACAGGGCATGGCAGTACTATATAAGTCGACGTTTCCCCTGCCACGCTGCGACCATTGACTCAAGAAGGACCCCGTCGCCAAGGCCCGACGCAGTACTGCTCCAACTCTTGCAACGCTCTGTTGCGCGCTGCCTTGACCCGCCGCAATTCTTGTTTGCCCGCCGCTTATTGTCTAGCGCTGAAGACCGTTCTGTCGCGACCGATGAAGAGGACCGTGAAAGTACCAGACCAGTGCCAAATGGAAAAGAAAAAAGGTCAAGGAGAAATAGGGGTCTCGGATGGTGAGGGTGTGGACCTGGTTCAGCATGAATCCACTCTTGGGGAGATCACGGAAGAGGTTGCGTCGCAAGGCTTTGACCTTACAAGGTGGTTGCAAGACGCGGAAGTCGCGTTTATCCTGTCATGCTGCTGCAGCCCTTCTTCAAGTAAGATCCTGTCAAGCCAGCTGAAACCAGAGGCAAGCGGATTTGGCACCTTGACTTGTTGAGGGGCCATTTGGGGAAACCTCACGAACATGCCCCTCCATCGACAGTAGCAAATGCACAGCAACAACCGTGCAATGTGACTAAGTCCATTCAGTGTGCCCCACTTTGAAGGACTCAGCCTGAATGGCCGAGCTGACAAGTTGTCGCGCCGTTCAACAGCAGCGCCTGAGGACAGGCAGTTTGTCATGGTCAATATGACTTGTACACATCCGGTCGTTAAACGTAGGGAATCTTCAAAACTTGCAAACTTGCATTCAGAAATATGCTCCATGCGTTCAATGCTTGTTTGCATGTCTAACACATGGAAACTTTGAGTTGGGCTGGTGAGGGCCCCGTAAGCAGTGCATGTCCCTTTGTTTCGTTGCTCGCATGGCTAGGTTGTGACTTAAATTCAACATACCACTAATGTCCTTCACTGCAAGCTGCAACGGACTACCTTCATTATGTTTTGCAGCGCCTGGAATAATTGCTTTTGATTGCTTTTGGCTTTTGACTAGGAGATCTGATCCTAAAGATGCTGATGTAGAAACAGCGAATGTTAATTAGGAACCCCCCATACTATGTGCAGTACAGAACACAAAGCTGACGTTGTACTGCTGTGGGTTTTTTGTGTTCCCCGAGCCCACGCGATTTCCAGTGGAACGTGTTTTTGTGGAATGCAGCACCAATTCAAAAGGCCAGTGGCAGTATCCTGCTTGGTTTCTTTGTAGTTCCGCCTTGGCTGGTGATGTCTTCATTTGTAGCAGGATGTCCGGGGCGAAGTGACCGGTGTCGTGCTGCAGATCCCTCGACAGCCTTGACATGCTCTTTTACCATTGGTTGTGCCGCAGATTTTTCCGAGGCCAGTGCTGGCCGCCCTTGCTGGATGGCTCGCTGTGATGTATGGCATCCAGCATGCCTTGATTCAGGCTCTCGACTCAGCTGACTCAGCACTTTGTTTTGGTCGGTTTTCCATGCTGTGAGGTGCCATTCTTGACTGGGAATCAGTATGAGTACTTCCCCATCATCGCAACCTTCATCGTAACTTGTTTGAACGACTGGTGCGCCGGCGCAGTTGTCAAATGAGACCTCATAACTTGTAAGAGCTGAGGCCGGGTATGGTGTCATCGTCTTGGAGGATTCTATTACAGTAGACAAAACTGATCTGAACTACATGGAGAAACTGTTCCAGTTTGATTTTTTTCGTGACGTGCAGGAGCAAACAGAGATCAACAAGGCCGACAATGGAGCGACGCGGGTTCATTGCGCTCAGCCTCTGTTGCCTTCGACTGTGAGACTCCCTGCAGCTTCAAGACCTTCTCTTGTTAGCAGAAGGTTGATGGCCACACCTTCTTGCCCAGTGACAGACAATGAGATCCTGTTGTTTTGCTGAGTAGACATAGTCACATCGGATGCTCTAATCAAAATATCATGGAAGACTAAGGAAACTATAGTCTCCAGCAAGACATCCTTCCTTGGGAACCATGGTTCGTTTATGTTTCTTAAACCAGCGCTTTTCCAGCTCCTGATCCCATTGCGCATCATGGCGGCTGCCTGCTCGAGCATGCTTATGCAAAAGTTCAACTGCAAACCGCATCTAGAACGACCCAAAGCCACCCAGGCCTTGCAAAGAAGATATCAAGAAATGGTTGGAAGCCGATTGAACTCCTCTGTGAGTTTGCTTCTGTCAGCAGCCAGTGCATTCTCACTGGCATTCAAAGTCAGTGGTCAAAGATGTGGAACACACACGCAAGTTCGAAATCGGAGACGTAACTCGCCAGATACGAGACGCCCACTTCCTCGGTGTGTCGTTTTTGATCTCGACGGCTGTTTGTGGAGTCCAGAGATGTACGAATTGTCCTGGGACCGTGGGGGTGCCCCCTTTGCCTACGACACGCAAGGGGTGATGCGCGATAAAAGAGGTTGCGTCATATCCCTGCACTCTGGAGTAGAAAGTGCACTTACTGAACTGGCCACTGACAAGAAGTGGAAAGGTGTGACAGTTGCTGTTGCATCCTGCTGCGACGTGCCCCCATGGGCTTTTGAGCTTCTGGGCAAGTTTGAGTTTGGACCTTCCAAGTCCAAATTGAATGAGCTGATCACAATCTGCAAGATTCACAAAGGCGGCAAACAAGGCCACTTGAGAGAAATTCAACAAGTGGTTGGCTGCAGCTTTGATGAGATAATTTTCTTCGACAATGAGCCATACAACTGCCAGCAAGTGGCCAGTTTAAGTGCAACACTCAGGACATCTCCACCATGGTTGTGGGGAATAGGCGGTCAAACACAGCTCGTCTTTCACAAGTGTTATTTTCCAAACAAAGCACTGATGGTTTGCATTTGTTCGCAGAGTTCTTAGCATGCCATTTCTTGCAACTAAGGTGTGACATGTGTATATTGTCCTGAAGGTGTCACTTCGAAGACATGGTCCACAGGCATTGAGGCAGGATTGTACAAGTGTGGCACACACGCACACAGAGCACATCATACCATGGTCGAAAAGTGTCGAAATGTGTATATTAGAATAGAAAAGTCCACGCATCAGTCTTATGTGCAAAACTTGCTGTCAGGCTTTTCCTCAACCTGGGAACACCATCCGATGCTGACCAGAAGCAGAATATATTGATTTCATCATTTGCTTGAATTGATTCGCAAAAAGTGAAGCAGCACCAGAGAGATTCCACATCAACATCATTTTGAGTGCAGTGTTTTGGGGTGCTGGAAGCTGGAAGGCCGCTACTGCCCTTGTGTTGGGCGTACTTGTTGCGCGCTTAGTTTGAGCGGCAAGTGCTCCAGCTCGCTTGGTAGCGAACCATTTCCTTGTAGGTGTGGGCTTTGGTGGGAACCGGCGTTGATATGTCTGCCGCGAATTTTGACACGGCCATCAAGCGAGGTCCCCAGGTTCTAGATTCTAGCATCAAGGCCTGCAAGCATGCTGTGCTTGCGGTCACACATGTTTGAGGGAGACCTTGGAAGATGTCTCCGAGGCTGAACTGATATCCGGAGTATTTTACCTGAATGACTTTGAAGAGTTTTCTCCGTAGCAGTGCCGGAGGTGGTTTTCTTCCTTCTGGGTGCATTGACCATTGTTGAGATCATGGATGCGCACAAAGGAGCGGCCGAGTAGGAAGAATGATGAAACACCTTGTGAATCACCTGGTAGACGCCTAAGGCCAACCAAGACATGTGCGCAGAGCAAATGAACCAAATGGCTTTTGTCTTTGGTTCAGGCTTTGACATTATCACAAAAGCCATTCAAGCCAAGAGCCAGAAGGAGTTGTTGGCACTGACCCAAGACACTCTGAAAAGAGATCCTTTGAGCCCGTCATCAGTTGTTGCACCGAACTTTGCCCGAGATCATCATTGGTGTCCTGACCTTCGTGCTTTCCTCCGTCCTTAACAACCTGACAGTTGTCATTGTCATGGTCAGCCTACATGTGTTTCACTGTGGTTGCAATATAGCTGTTTGTCGCGGTGAAGCAAGTGACAACTTGGTAAGAACTCAAGTGACTTGGTTGATTGATGCCAGATCTCTTTGCTCCAGAAGCTGGTGAAGGTGGGTGGGTTTGGTTTGTTTAGATGAGCAAGTTTGCTGGTGCCTTTTCCTTGAAAGGACGAAGATTTCCGCATGAAGTTGGGTGGCCTTGTGGTGGTCGCCTCCAACGCCGGTGGAGCCTGGAGCGGCTAACGCTTTCCTGTTGCTCTAGCGCTGTCAACAATATGATAATGTACCAAACTTTTACTTCCTCATCGGAACGTTGTCATTTCAGCGATTCATCCGAACTGTGGAAAACGATTTTCCTGCACAAGAGACCTGCTTCATGGAGGGAGTTTTGTTGCACGGCTTCAGGACGCCGATCGGAGATATTACCACCACCATGCTTTACATCGGTGGACAGGCCGCAGCGAACACATTGTGTCACAGGTGCTTGCATTTTCTATTTGATTGTTTTGTTAGGTCACAACCGTGCCTCTCCTGACCAACTTGTTTGTCCCAAGTGTGCTGTGTTTGGTGGGCACACTAGGCAGCTTCTGAGAGTGCTCTTCCAGTGTCGGTTGCCTTTGTTGACATATGCTTTGGCAGGCTATGAGTATCTTCAAATGGAAGACAAACCCTTTGACCGAGACCCTTCTTCCGCACAGGTGCGGTCCTGTGCGCAGAGACTAGTTGCTGTTGCTTTTTGTGTTTCACAGACTTGAGAGGATGATGAAGTTCCCAACGGCCAGGCGGGTGATGTTTATAGACAAGGCTGATATAGAAATCAATGGTGCATGATAGTGCTCTCCAGGCAGTTGTGTTTTGGGGTGGTCTTTTCGGCATGATTACGGTCCCTGTCTTTACTGCCGCCTTCTCAGCTCTTAGTGATCGTGCTTGATGTGCTTTGTGTCGCCCTTGAAGTGTCCCAGTTAGATTGTTCCGGACCCGAGGCAATCACGCAATGCCCTGCCTGGAGTGGGTACTCCTGAAGCAGATAATTTCCAAAAGCAAACAGCATATTGCATACTGCATACGCTCCATTCTCTGTCGCATAGTTCAATGACAGCTGTATCAGCCCAGGATGATGCTTGTCCTTGGTCTGCTCGGCTTGATCACCTCCTTGCTGGATCCTAAGCGGGTTAATCGATTTTGATTTTTTGTTGAAGACATGGTGTCGCCACTTGCGTGTTAGGAGCAAAGGGCATCGCTACTAGGAGCAAGGTCACTACTAGGGGCTCCTGGCCATACTACTCGGAGCAAGAAGCTACTAGGAACAAGGATGCTACCGGGGCTCCTGGCCTTACTACTAGGAGCAAGAAGCTACTAAGAGCAAGGACGCTACTAGGGGCTCCTGGCCTTACTACTAGGAGCAAGAAGCTACTAGGAGCAAAGACGCTACTAGGGTCTCCTGGCCTTACTACTAGGAGCAAGAAGCTACTAGGAGCGAGGACGCTACTAGGGGCTCCTGGCCTTACTACTAGGAGCGAGAAGCCCCTAGGAGCAAGGACGCTACTAGAGGCTCCTGGCCTTACAACTAGTTGCAAGAAGCTACTAGGAGCAAGGACGCTACTCAGGGCTCCTGGCCATACTGCTAGGAGCAAGAAGCTACTAGGAGCAAGGATGCTGGGCTTACTTCTAGGAGCAAGAAGCTACTAGGAGCAAGGACGCTACTAGGGGCTCCT